TTGATTTCTTATTCCTATGTCACTAGCTGACATGGGCCTCAAGCTGAGGGTTAGGCTGTGATGCCTAAGGCAAGCATCACTGTAAGCATGGCATCAGCACAGAATCCAGATGACTCAAAGCCAGATAAATTCAATGAATCCTAGTAGTTTTGTTAATACTTTCTGCTTAGCAATAGAAACTATCTGGAAAATGAGTCAAAAAAGGTAACAGAAATAAGGCAACAAAATTAATTTATATATATTAAAAATATACATACATATATATATATATGTATGTATGTATCCAGGAAAACAACCTGTTTGCATGATGTACTTTTCACATACAATAACTTATTACCACATTAGAAGAATACTCTGGGTAACATCAATGGGCCAAATTCACCTCCCCTACCTTCCATAGTGTTGCACCTGCATACAGCAAGGACAGATTTGACACTTGGTCCTTCGTGATGAAAATACTACAAAAAATGCAGTATCAGACAATACTCATTGAATGTCAGATATTATACCATTATGAACTAGAATATCTGTTTGCTTTTTATATTACAGTAAGTAGTTTATTGCTTCTAGTGACCAGAAGGTACCTTATGAAGACATCTTAGATGTTGATAACACTTTTTATATACCGTTTTATGGACCTTGGAACACTGAGGTTGGCAGATCACAATCATTAAGTAATTTTTCTTCTTTATTTGCTGTTTGCATTTTGATTTGCTGAATGCACATGCAACTAGTGGATTAACTGTGCCAGAAGTGATATGTTAAAAACATTTAGGAAAACTTACTGGTTCGTTTTGTTTTACTGAAGTCAGGCATGAATGGCATGCAGTAGATTGCAAGGAAAACCAAAAGGACATCCATTTTCAAAGGATATATAATCTCCATGCACATGTAAAATGTCTCTTACAAAAGTCATTAATTTTTGTTAAAAGTGTGCCTTTTTGCCTCTTTTTATACAAGTGTACATGCAATTACCTGTCCAAGCTAAAATTATTTACAAAATTTCATAGTACAATACATCTTTTAAAGTGAATAATACATGAAAGGCCTATGCTTTCTGTTGTTTTGTAACACTGTACAAGATTAAAAATAAATAAGGCATTATAATACAGGTTTATCACAAATTAAAAAATGTTGATTTTCACTGTAATACAAAACTCTTAACTTGAAAGAACATTATGGCTAAATAGTCCTCCTGCCTGGGCAGAACACATACAGAATTTGGACTTGCTGATGTAAAGAAAACGCATTGTTTCTGCTACAAGCAGGAATCCAATGAAAATGATTCATGCTACTTACTAATGTGTTCAGACTCCTCAAAGCACTGAAATGGCACAGGTTTCCCTTAAAACAGTGACTCCCGAGTACTTTATTTTGCCCTACAGATAAATTATAGGCAAAAGTGTGAAAGAGATTTAGGTGCATGACCTACTCTTGGTTACAGTGTTGTAAAATGTTCAGTTCAGTACTGACATGAGACATCATTATAACCCAAAGAAGAACTTGGCCTACAGAAGCTCAACTCCTGACCTTCACAAGCATGCTAAACTCCTGGTGACTGCTGCAGGCCTTGTGGGTACATAAGGGATGCAGATCCAGCCCTAACAAGTTGAAGCTTTTGTCTCTTTGTCTCACCTAGAGAAAGCAAAGGAGCATTCACGTGTTTTGGTGAAGATAAGGGTGTGTGACTTGCCACAGTGGGAAGCAGCTACAAAAACCTACGCATTTTACAGGCTGGATAAAATAGCTTTCTAGTCAATGTAAATGGAATATGTTTGGAAATATCTAGCCAGTAATTCAACCAGTCTGCAATCTCAGCAGAGAACAATAATTAAAAAATCATTTGAAGATAAAGGTAGTATAGGAACACTTAGAAATTAGCTCCCAAGACTAAAGATCTCTGATGCTTATATCCTTATATAAAGAATGAAAGACTTCAATTATTACTCTTATCTGAAAGAGAAAATGTGCAAATTGATGTGAAATATTGTGCTTGTTGTTGATAGACGTTGACATGCCAAAATGGCATCACTTTGTTGTAGGGCTTATATCTGTTAATTGTTTCAAGCTACCTCCTGCACAAAACAGTGAACAGAAGTACAGGAGGCTATTCTGCCCACAATGTGACAAGTTACTATCCTCAGATAGCTTCTCTAATTTGGCAGAAAATGCGCATTTGTGGGGTTTTCGGAAATATTACTTCTATACATATTTGCCCCTCTTTCCACACATGAAACCTACTGACATGTCGAAGAATGCAGAAGAGCAGAGAGATTAAATATGTTACTTAAAGTTGTCCCACAAGAGCTGGACTTAAACAAATTTACACAGAAGAGAAAAAATTATATGAATAGGGAGGGAAAGCATAAAGGTAAAAGCACAGTTGCATCATATCATGATTTCAATGAGTATTTAGCTTTCCCTGTTGAAATGGCTGCTGAATACTGCCTATCATTTTCACATGATTTTTTACTGATTTGTGCCTTGGCTGAACTTTTTTCATGACTTTGTACTGGTCAGTCGAGGACTACATAGTAATATATAGTTTTCCCCACAGTAAAACCAGTAACAACAACCATAACAAAAATATGAAAAACATTAATGACAGGATAATGATGTTAATGATGATGAACTTAATGAGAATAGTGTTAACCTGGTCTACTGGGAGGTGTCCCTGCCTATGGCAGTGGAATTGGAACTAAACGCTCTTTAAGGACCCTTCCAACTCAAACCATTCCATGATTCTATGACTCAAAAGTCTGGAAATTGACTCCAAATACACCATAATTGATGCTGTAAGCTAGCACATGCGCACTAGCTTGCCTGTACTACCAAGAAGCCATCCTGGTCCACTCAACCTGCTCTGGGAGGCACAAATCTCCTGCAAAAGTGCTGAATGAGAAGCTGATGATGGACTGTGCCTGTCTAGTCCTTTCCATTCGACATGGAAAACACTCTTACAAAAGTCACGTGCCTCACTTGGCTGTTGGAAAGGAGGATCTGGCTTAGAAAAATCTTCGGACTTTTTCTAGTAACACCTGCTAATCTTTTAAAATAAATAATCCAAATTTACCTTGCTACATGATCTTCCAGTGACATTAGCAGGCTGGGAATGGGTCTGTGAATGAGAACAGTCACAAAAGTATTAACAGAGGGGATCTGTTTCTGCTCACTGTCCATTTAGTGATCAAAGAAGCAATGGCAAGATGCCTATATCTTGGGCCTAATGAAAATAATAACAAATAAATAATTTCATTGCAAACTTTTGGGTCGGTCAATGAGTGGATTTGTTCGGTGTGTTCATGTACTACCAGATCTGATGCTAGAATCTGAAGATTCTTTTATTCTATTGTTATCACTGAAATTATACCAAACTCACTGATTCAAAAATTGTATAGCATGGAATCTTTAAGAGTGAAACTGAGTGATTAATGCTATTGCATATAATGCTTTCCAACTTTGTTAAATATTTAACTGCATGATAATTGAGTTCTTACAAACTAATTAGACAACATAAATATGCAGTGTGCTTTACATGAATACCACTTATTCAGTTTAATTATGTAAATATTTGTTCTTTTATATCTGTATTCTCTACGTGTATTTATTTAAATGGCTTTGGATGCCTCAAAACCAGAAATAAATTATTCTAGAAGAATAGCTGTGAACTGGATAGCTATTAGGGAGATAAAGAAATGCAGTGACTTTCTACAGACCAACCAGGATGCAGACACCCTGTACAGTACAGTTAGGAAGAAGTTCTCAGGTTTTTATAGTCACTTTAATCACGACACTAGCTTTGCTAGCTTTGTAATGAAGCACCTAGCTGACAGGGTACATAAAAATTAATTTAAAACCCTGTTGAAAACCACTAGAGTCCCACAGTAGCCTGATGTGGCTACATGAAGAACAGAAATTCCTGTAACATTTATTTAACTATTTGCATCTGCTGACATAGTATTCGTCCGTATACTTTTGACACAAACAGTGACTGTTCCAAAGTAAAAGCTGATTGCAGAAGAATCACTCAGAATCTTCTTTCCACTGAAATCTGCCATAAAATAGGCCCTCTAAAGGGAAGTGTGACATCTAGTACACAAGTTTTCTATTGTACAATCTGGACAACTTCTGTAGTCTGGGGTGGGGTTTTTCATTTTGTTGTTGGTGGTGGTTTTTGGTCTTGAGTTTTTTGGGAGGGGGAACAGGGATTGGGGTTTTTTTGGTTAAAAGGACGTTTTGCATGTTTTTAGACAATGTAAAATTTTACTTCTCTTTTGGAAAGCAGTGAGGTTAGTTAACCTGTGAATTCCCATCAGGACAGTATGGCACCTGTCTATAGAGTACATGTCACTAAACAGGATGACCTCGAGGCCCCCACCTCGAGTACAGAGATGCACTCCACATTTCATATCCAAATCAGTATTTCAAGATGAAACCACAGTCAATAGGATGTGGGCTGGATTAAAGAAAAAAGCTGTCAAAATATGTTCCCTTTTATGCAGATTAAGAGCAGGCCTCACTCTCCTGGCACACTTACCCGTGGTCCTCATTTGGGCAAAGTTTGACTGTGCTTGTTTCTCAGAATTATAGCTTTCTATAATTGTACAGCTTTGAAGAGTGAGCCTGGATAGAATCAAGATATAATAGAACTGTGGCGTAAATTTAAAAATCAGTTAAGATGTAAAATTATGTTGGCAAACATACAAATGTCACAAAGCTAACAACAGCATGTTTGGCACCAGCACAGGACTATTCTTTGAGCTGTTTAGAAAGGTAAAGCTAATCCTGGAACTGAACTAGACCTGTGCTATTTCTAAAAGCCTGAAATAATACCATCCTTCTGCTCCTCAATAAAATCAGCACTGTACATAAAGGAATATTTCTATATTGCATAAGCATATTGCAGGGTGGCTCCTCTGTCTTGCACAGAGTCAAATGACCTACAAAGAGGCAGTAAGTTCTAAACTCTATTACCCTTTTTTTTTTATGGAAAGACTATATATTGTTCTTCTGCCTAAACTTTAAGCTCTGTGGTTTACCTACTTCATATCCTAGTGTTATGGTTTGATTGGAATTTTTTGGAAATTTTTGAAGCATGCAAGGAGAACTTTAAAAATTACATAGGGTTTAGTAATTAGCTGAATCCAGCCTTCATTAATCTGCCATTGACAGCACAATAAACACTGTTCTCATTGCTTTAACTCATGCACTGGGAGCACAGTTTCTCTAACTCTTGCTGTAGCCCTGGAGAGTCTCCAGGTGCCCCATATTCCATGGTGAAATGAAGCTTTCCTAATCCCAGGCCCAACAATGCTGGCTATGACAGAAAGAAATCTCTTTACTATGTCATTGCAGGTAGATGTGTAAATAAATACACATTTTTTGTTTATCTCTATAAACCTCTATTAAGTCTACACAGAACTGTTTGTATATGTGCATATATAGATTAAAACATATATATACACACACACATACATAAATAATTGCTTGCACATTTATCTAATTTTTTTCAACTACCTTTTAAAAATGCCATGAAAATATTCCTCATTTCCAGAAAATCCCATTTTGACTTTTCCTAACAGAATTGCTAGCCCTTATATGTTCCATCCCAAGAGTTTGTTACACAGTCCCCAAGTTCTCTTTGGTTGGGTTGTAGTGGTCCTTGGTTAATGCCATGGCCTATGACCTCTGACTTCTTGGTAAAAATTCAGTCAACCATTACTCTCCAAGTTCACTGCAGATGACAACCAAATCTCCTTTGTTCTATGCCTCCTTCACAGCTGGCACAGAAGGAAGATAATGCAGTGTTTGATTTGTGTGACTGGCAGAAGCTTGACCTGCTCCAAGCCCAGGTTTTGCAGTAAAGCTAGCAACTGAGGACACTGACGGACAGCTGGTGCCCAGTTTTGTTTGAATGTTTGCCCTCCCGTAAGGGTACATTTTTCGCTCTAAGTTTAAAGACCGTGTTTGGGAATTATTTCCATCAGCCTTTCCTTCCAGGAAATAGGTCAACATTTCGCCTTTTCCCTTTACACTAACTTTACCCCTGCACACGAATTCATAACTGCACCTTTTTAATATCCGTTGAACTTCTTCTGTCACCTGAAGACAGAAAAAAAACCCAACTGTTACTTTTTGCTGTTCATATAACTTCTCACCCCTCTTTATTTTACTTTTCTGTCATGAAATATGCATAAGCACAATGGATGAGCACCTACAGCTGCTCTCAGGCTCACTTAGAATTTTCTTAAAGAAGTAAAGATGACCAATCTAACTGGAATCTGCAAAGCAGAACTTGTGGTCTTGAACCAAATAATTACACAGCCAAATTAAGTTCCGTCCAGCAGAAATGTATAACCAAATTGTAAGCTCAATCAGTTCCAGTGATGTTAATTTGCTGCAGAAGACCTTTTGATCTCTGGAGATTAAACAGGTATTTTGGATAAATGACTGCAAGAGTTCATTGAGCTTTTGAAAGATACGCCATAGCTTCTAGCCAAGCCCTAGTAGAACAACAACGTTCTCTGTTTGCATCGCCTCTCCAATCCAAAGTATCAAAGGAATTTTTAAAGCTACATAAAATGCAGTAAGATGCAAACAAACATAGATACTTTCCTTGTAGGTCTTATTCAGGCAAAATTTCTACAGTACAAGGACTGACAGTGTCAGCATTTCCAGGCTTGCCTCCAACTGTGTGCAATGAAGCAGAGAACTTTCTTCTAATGGGAAATGATTTATTTAAGGATTTCATTGTCTCCAAGGAGTGAAGCATATAAGATGGAAAACAACTATATCTCTGATGCTTAAGTCACCTGGAGAGTGTTGCCCTTTTCATTAGAAGAAGATAAAGTGAGGCTGTGTTTTCTAAGTGGTCTTGAAAATGTAACTATATGTAAAACAGGAAGTATGTAAACTTTGCAAAATTGTCTTAGAATGCACTCACCTGAATTTTTCCCTGCACTCCAGTACTATCCATCCGGCTGGCAACATTTACAGTGTTTCCCCAGATATCATACTGTGGTCTTCTGGCTCCAATGACTCCTGCTACTACTGGCCCAACATTAATACCTAAAATTAAACAATGAGTTTGGTTTCAAATACTACAGCGTATTATCCAAGGGAAACGTGAATCCTACAAAACAGACTCAACACAAGTGCCTTAGAATTTTTCTGCTCATAGGACATAATTTATGTTAACAACATGAAGCTGAGTCAGGGGAGGTTAAGGTTACATATGAGGAAAAGGTATTTCACCCAAAGGGTGGTTGAGCACTGGAACAGGTTCCTCAGGGTAGTGGTCACAGCACCAAACCTGTCTGATTTCAAGAAACTTTGGGGCAACACTCTCAGACACATGGGGGGATTCTTGGGGTGTCCTGTGCAGGGCCAGGATTTGGACTTGATGATCCTGATGGGACACATCCAACTCAGCATATTCTATGATTCTATGCTGAATTTAATGTCAACTGGACTTCTGTATTTGCAAAAGGTTTATAAACAAAACAAAGGCATTCCTCAAGATATCTTATTAGACACACAATACGATAGACAACATAAAAATTTGATTCTTTGGTGGATTTCGTTTATTTAAAGAAAAGAAGAAAAATAGTGCTAGTCCAGAGTTTAGCTGTAGACAAGACAAACTGTTAAAGTTCTTTAATTGGTCCCTACAACTTCCACTGCAGTTGCACTCACAAAGCCTTCTAATGGAGGTTTTCCAAGTGGAACAGAAATAATGGTCTGGAAGACATAAGGACTGGGGTAAGGGAAGTGTGTCACTTTGGCTATTAGTACTAGACAACTCAGATCAGGAAAAAGACAAAAGGTTTGGAAATGGCTCAAGCCCTTTTTTTTTGGGAAACTGCAGAGCTTGATTCTACATTTCTGACTAAATTTGACACCTTGTTTGGAAGATAAAAGAGTATGTGTTCCTTCTGAGTGCCCTGAAGAGCTGCAGATACTAAACCCTGCAAAAGATTCCATGTGAGGGCTTTCCCAGGCAAGTTATGCAGAAGAATGGGGGTTACATATTTGATCCTTTGTGAACCTGGAAAGACCAGTTATAACAGAGTTCAAGGAGAATTTAGGGTTTATAATTATCAGGATGTACAGGAGGTCAAATATGTGTAACTCTCCTATTGCTGCCTTTGATGTCTTGGGTCTTTCTCAATCTTACACTGCTAGAAACTTTTGTTTTTCCCTTGTCCAGCCTATTCTCACAATTCAGCCATGAAAATGTATGGAGAAAGAAGCTGGAGAAAACTATCTGTTTTAGAATATGCAATGAAATTAGAACAGCAATGGAAGTAACATTGGAGAGGAGCAGAATGCAGGGAAGAAGGGGAAGAGGGGAACGTGATCTCTAAGAAGACTGTGAGAAAGGACTCTGAGTGGTAAGACGTGTAATAACGTGTAAAGGATTGCATGGGAAGGGTTGTGTTGTGAAGACCAGAGGATTTGATTTGTTGGAGAAAACAGGACTGGTTAAGGTGATTTGGCATCTGTGACCAAAAGGCCCCAATCACACTTTTAATGCCAACAAAGCTTTTGCAGATTCAACTTAATAGCTAAGTACAGTAAGACCCAGTTTTCAGCAGTTTAGCAATGCAAAGCAGAGTAAGGCACAAGACTGGGCACACTCATAATATTACATTAAATTAGTTGTGCAGTTTCCCTATAGTGCTGCATAGATTAAGTAAACACATTGGAATTGGACACAATTGTAATTCCTCAATACTAATGCATACCATCCAGCCTGCTGACCTTCTACGTGAAGGTGACTTTCTCACTAAAGGAGAATTTTCAGCTTTAATCATGAGGGCAGGACAGGTAATCCTTTGCTGACAGCACAGGGAAAGCCAACAAAAACCAATGTTCTGCTTGTGTGATAATTGTAGAAACGTGACTTACCAACTCGCAGGACAAAATCATTGTAGGACTGATAGTTGATTTCATCAAGAACATCAAACATCTCTATTGCAAAATCTGCCAGTGTACTCAGATGGGAATAAATTGATTTTTTAGCCTAGAAACAAAATAGTATTGCACATTAGATTTGTATGATACTGAGAGGCAGGTGAAATACCAAAGTGAAAAACAATGAAAAACTCAGGACAGATGGCTTAGGAAAAGAATCTAACCAGTTTTCCTGTTTGTGAAAGGAAACTTTTGATGGTAGCTAAAGCACATGCATTCTTTTCTTGAGTGCTATTTTTTTTCTTCTCTCTCTCTTTTTGATTTCTGGGAAGAATGGAAAACCAAGTTCCCATGGTAAAGTGATTCTGTTGCTAGAGAGCTGCAGATGTTTGTTGTGAGTGTGGCAGGGAATATAACCTGCTTTTTTACAAAACTACTTTGCCTGGTGATTATTAATAACTATAGTTTCTGCCCTATTCTCCCTTTGGGGCTTTTGCTAGCTCCCAGCTCCATGGGGTGCATGCTGTTCCCATTGACAAAATTTCTGTTGTGTTCAATCCTGTGAGACGCAGAACACCCCTATTTTTTTTCCTTTCCAAGCAAGCTGAAGGGATTTGTTATAAAATGTATCTAAATGAACTACAGCAAAAGAATCAGAAGGGATCAAATGAAATGCTGAAGTATCAACTTTTAACTAAAACCCCAAACATAAGAAAATAATTTTTACAACTTCAGGCTAATTAATTAAACTGTAGAGCTCATGGTTAGAGGATATTGTGATTCCAAAATTTCACAAGAGTCTAACATAGTTACTCAAACTCATGAAAGAAATATTTGCTACACAGTAGTAAAAAGACATTAACTTCAGAATTTCTTAAACAGCACATCATTAGAAAGTAGAAAAGAGAGGTTTGTGTATTTGTCCTGTAACTCATTCCCTTCCCCCAGGATCTACCTTTGGTTATTAAAGACAGGTTACTAGAATAAGCCTTTGATTTGACTCAGTATGATTGTTTTTATGTTCTGCTCTTATTTGAATAAGAAATATGAATTTTGGAACAGATTTGCAAAGTGAAAGTGGGCTAAAGGTAGGATATGGTGAAAGAAATGCAGGGTCAGTGGCAGCTTCAGTACGGTGTTGCACAATGGGATTGTGGAAGCTGGCATGAGATGAAAGCTTGCTGAGTTTTTGCCATCATAGCGAGATTTTATAAATGCAGTGCTTGACAGTGGCTGACAAACCTGAGAAACCAGTTGCTATTTGCTTTATTCTGCTCAGTTTGAAAGGGCTGCTCCATGTGACTGGGAAATTCACAAAAATTAGTTCTAACAAAAAATTATAAAATCATCCTTGGGCCAGTCCCAAATTTTGGAAAAAAAAATCTTTTTATTTACCTGCCTGGATATCTGGCATTCTGCTTCTTATAATGTGAACTAGCTAGCTCTACTATTTTCCAGCACTACCAAGAAAAAGGAAGAACAAGAATGAAGCTTAAAGAGCTTATGGCTACAGTCCCAACAGAGAAGGAAAACATATGGAGGAGTTTTATTTGACTTCTAATCTTCTTTATATTCCTTATCCTTCCGTTTCTTTGCTGCCTAATGAATGCTGCATTTTCCTGCAATGCCCTTCAGGGTCACAGGAGAGAGGACTTGTGACAAATACTAGATGTGCTGCAGGTCACAGATGCATCTCAATAGGTTTACTGGCAAATTCTTTTGAACCTGCACTGAAGACCACAAAGTTAGGACCCTGGTGAAGTCAGGATCGTGGTGAAATAAGCATAGAAGGATTTTATATTGTGTGAAAGATCTACATGTTTGTGTGTTGCCCTGATGATGTAACTGGCAAGCAATTATTCATTGACATATCAGAGGAATAGTTACTGGAAAGACTGCCCAGAGCATCACAGCAAAGCCACTCTGATAGAGGCAATGTGCATTTACTTTATTTGTCTGCTGAAGTCAAGCTGCAGAAACACCAGTCCTGTAAAATATGGGATTTAAATATTTAACTTCATCAGGGTACTGGGCTCTTATGTGTGCAAATATCCTCAGTTAAGAGCACAGTTAACCCGATCCACTCTTTTCTGCTTATGTCCAAATCCTAGTATGAAATTTATTGCTCACAATCAGAGGCTGTGCCAGATTTTCTGTTGAAGCTGGGATGCTCCTGGTAGAGGGCACACTAGAAGCACTTGACTCTCTTAAGGCTCCCCATGGACACATGTGACTCTGTAGGACAGCCCAGGGACTGTGTGATGGCTGGAAGTGATCACCTGTGCATGACAGGCTAGCCAGGATTATCAGACTTCTAATACACAGCTGCATGCTGAAGATTTGTTGGGAAACTGCCAAGAGGATGTGAATAATTTCTATTCAATTGCACCACATGAGCAGTGGGAAGAGAATGCAAAGAGCTGACACCCCAAGTTAAAGTAAAAAATATTGATTGTTTCATACAAGATTTTTTTTCCAGAATATAGAGTGTTAAGTAAATTCTACATGTGCAGAAAAGATCAAAATTTTCCCCAGGATTTAAGAGAAAGGCAAGACTTTCTGCAATGATTTAAAATGCATTACTATCATAAGCTCAGAGCAGTATCTTCAATACTGGGTTAGCTCAGCTAACCCTTCACTTGACAACTATAAAATACAAGAGACAAACGTGTTTAGATTTTGGAACATATGCTGCCAAAGTTACCCAATAACACACTTGTTTTGAGCATTATAGTTCAAAGAGCATTTATAGCAGACATATTGCCTGTTTGCCCGAGATCACACACTGAAAAAAATTCTAAAGTTCAATGTTTTTTGCCTGTCTCAGGACCCATGAGTCAAACATTTCAGGATAAACAGACTTTTAAAAATACCTTTTTTGTAATATGTAGATTTCTAGGAATGATACAAAGGAAAGCATCAGCTGCAAATTTTCTGCAGACCAGAAAATTAGTTGATATATTCCAACACGATTCTAACAGTTGATTTCAATGTGGTCTTGTTTTTTATTCACTTAGCAGGGATAATAGTTCACAGGACATCTTCTGGCCTTTTTCATTTTGGCCCTTTAATTTGATGTTATTTTTCAATGCTAAACTGTATATATGAGTGTATACAACATATGTCTACAACGTATGTACATGCATTTCAGAACAACGGAGAAGTGTCTGGAAACTCTGAGCAGACATGGTGAATAGATTGGTTTAATTTTCATTATATTCTTATATCATTAGTTTTATAACATTTTCATAATTTAGTTTTATTACTACAATTATTAATATGCTTGGTACTCTGTACACATTATATTTAATATACTGCCCCCACAGTTTTCTGACTTTCTAGATCCTGCTTGCAAATCTAGGAAATCTCTGTCCCAAGACAATAACTTAAGGTGAGAAACATACTCGGGGTAGTAATAAAGATACAAAAGAATTGTGCCACAGAGCTAAGGGGCTTGAAATGACTTTGACTTTTTTTACTGCTGAGTAATTAAAAGGGTAAAAAGAATGCTAATAGCAGAGACAAAGAAGAGCTTATTTAAAGTGACCAGGGTAAAGTGAAACACTGCCTAGCACAAAGTTCCTGTCCATGATGGGTGTTAGTAGAGGCCATTTGTTTTCATTGTAGGTTACATGCAGATTTCCATATTAAAAAAAATATGTAAAAATCACATTTTAATATTCTTCTGCTAGTTTTGCAGCAATTCATTACACCTAGAGTCTCTCTTTCCCTACATCTTAGGTCATCTAAGATACTGGGTTTAAAACACTACCACTCTGACTTAGAGGCTCTTATACGTTGATTTGCAGAGAATCCAGAACTGCAGACAATGAAATTGCAAGTGAAGCCACATGAGCAACTGTGGCAGTTTTTCTTCTCAGGCTACAGCTTTCCTTTGAATTTCAAATTTAAAGTGTTGCAAAGAAGTCATACAAGTTATCTATAATCACATAGAATTAGTTGTGTTTCTGGTGCTCCTCTAGAGATAGAAGGAAAATGGTTCCTTCACAAAGGACTGTTTTGTAAAATCTTCTTACCTTAGTTCCCGAAGTAGGTACAAGTCCCACAGCTGCCATATATGTACTTCCAATTGTCTTGATCTTTTCTATGTCCTTATAATATTCTTTGTCCATAAGCTTTGTTTAAAACATAAAACTGTTAAATATTACATAATATTTTAGACAAGCAACCATAGTTATCAGATAATATGTGCAAGTTCATTAAACCATATTATTTTTGGTAAGTTGAGGCTGGCCCACTTTGATGTCATTAAAAAAACCTGCCACTAACTAGCATTTTGATGCTCTTTCTGTATCAGTGGAATTTGAGGTCAGACCTAAAAGTCCAAACTGGCCACCTTGAAGAAGTCCAGTGGACATCAACTATGTTTAAATAGGAAGTTTACACTACTCTTTTATTAAGAAGTTCAAGATATGATGAATTACTACAGATAATCTTTGTTGATAGGAATTTGGTAGAACTCATATGGTCAAAAGACAAAGTGCTTAGAACTTACCTCATCAAAATCAGCAATAATTTCATTTAACAGGCGTAAACATTCCACTCCCATATTATTGCCGTCCAATTCAATGTAGAAATCATTGAAGTTTGGGATGGAAGCAAACATCACTCCTACTTGTGAATATGACTGGTAATAAAGGTCCTGCAGTTCAGGAGCAGATATAATTTTTGTTTTAAAAGATTAATCTAAACTAAGCATCATTACTACAATACCCATGCTACTGCTAAGCAATAGCTATGACAAAAGCCATCATTTTTGCTTGAGAGAAAGCCAGTCTTCTTAAAATAATGTTGAAAGATGTCTTCACTTAAAACCACAAAAAAAATTCATACCTAAAGTATTAAACCCATTTAAAACAACTTAGTTTTGTTTTTGTTTTTGTTCTTGTTCTTTTTTTTTTCTGTTTAGACATGGAAGCAGTGAGTAAAAATTTGGAGAAAGTCTTAACAGTCGTAGAACTTCTATTGTATGAGAAATACATTTTCTCAATTTTGTTTTATAAGCAAAATAGCATGTGGAGCAATTTTATATTGTAGCACAAAACCAGCCTCACTCCTTCACATCTTTCCCTGAGTTATGGAGTCCTATGTAATATAATGCTGCTCTGTATGCTAAGGTTTCTGCTTAAAAATTTAGAGGGCTCAAAGAAAGCAAAACCACTATTCTATGGTTCAAATACATTGATCAAAATTCTGAAGAGCAGTATCATGAATATTACGGCAATTCCAGTGCTGCAGGTTTTCAGATTACCAGAAGGATTCTGGTAACGATTTCCTGAACCAATTTATTTAGTCACTGTAGCCTTTTATATTAAAAGCTGTTGTGTCTTCCTTGAGTATGTATAATTCTCCACTTTTAACTTTAAATGGGTGGTTTTGGTAATGATAGTATGTTTTCCAGAACTAGATTGGTTAATACAGTAGTGTCTTCACTATTCAGAACCAAACTGAGCTCATACAATGCTGTGATAAATCCCAATATCCTAAATTGATTGAAATAAAGTGATTGACAAGCAGACAATTGGTTACACTGATATTGAATAACAATATGCCCTTATACTGATTTTTATTAAAATTCTTTAGAGAAAGAGGACCATAAAGCAAAAGAAATAATCTCAAACTAATTCATGAACACAAGTTTTTATGAAACTATTTAAATATGAGTAAAATTTTAAAAGTCCAAGCCTTTCTTGAAAACATACAATCGAAAGGTGACCCAAGCAACACTGGGCCACATCCATACAACATGTATATAAATTTTGTCTCGGTTTACCATATTTCTTGGATTAGACATAAGAAAGTGCTGTGCAACATGTGCTGGCAACAGGTTGAAGAGAATTCTTTTATTATCCAGCTTGACTCTCTCCATATCGTCTCTCTCTTCTTCTGCCTGTGGAGATAGAGGAAAAGAAAAACCTTTCCAAATAGCAAAAAGTTAGCTGAACCTATCAAACAGCTTCTACTAATTCATCCTTTGAAATTAAACTGAGCAGAATAATGTAGAACAGTAATGTAGAGTGCGAATGTTTCTCCTGTACCACGCTTCTACATTAGGCAAAATCCCTTCAAGTTCTTAGTAATTTAAGCTCTGGGCTACTTTCAGGATTTGATCAGCTAAGTGTATCAGTATCTCCTGTAGTTCTCCACTATTTTTTAAATAGGCCCTTGATATTTTTACAGAGTAAGAAGCCAGAACAGTCCCACTTAAGTGGGTCTTGGAGGCCAATTCCTTTCCAGGTAGTCTGATAATAATAATGGCCAGTCTTCGCGAACGAAGATCTGGGGAAAGGTCTTTTACCTTTCCAGCCTGTGCAATGGATTTTTTAGGTGAGACACAGCATGCGCTGAACTGAGCCCACCCTTTAAATCCTAAGGTTCATCTACCGGGGCCAAGCAAGCTTGGACAATGGCAGTGAGGTCCTCAGGACGTAGGTTTGTTTAGAGTGACCTTCTCATAGATGGGTGGCCTCACAGGGCTAACGGGCTCCATCTGCCCGGGGGGACTGGGATTCGAACCTGGGTCGCAGCGGTGAGAGTCCCGCATGCTAACCACTAGGCCACCAGGGGTCCCCTAGTCTGATACAGTGTAGCAGTATTTGATCCCCCGTTCAAAAAAGAGAAGCCTATAGAACTACCAGTGTTTAAAGCAAACCTATGTCATTTTGCAGTAAAATGGAAAGAGTGCTTAGGAGTTAACACAACTGAGGTTCCTAACCCAAGATACCGGTATCTTATTACAGGTGCCTTGACTAACAGGAATTAGGGGGAGTCATACATTAGGAAACAATTCTAAAACTCAGACCTCTTATTAGAAAAATACTGAATATCTACGGATCTTATTTGGGACTCCTAGGTCTGCAAATTCCAGCCTAGTCCTTCATGTACTCATCAGCAAAATTACTTCTCCGGAATTTGCTCCTTGTTCTTAGAGTGACTTCTGGCTCTACATTCTGATTTCAATTAGAAAATGCTTGATCAGTGTTATATAATTAAACTCATGGAAATTATATCTTATTCTTTGCTCCTTAATCACATTCACAGAACAGTAACACAAATCTTCTACTGTGATCCTAACGTGATTTTGTTTATCTAATTACAATCAGTGGAAGACTGGAAGGCCAAATTCTCAGGCATTGTTGAGAAACCACAACCACATAAACCACTAAAGAACCTGTTCTAATCTTTGTTCGTGTCCCAAAAACCAATTGTATCTGGAATTTGGTATCCTGATTTATTACAAAGTCCACATACTTTTTTCACTATCCATTCCTGTCACCTTTTGCCTTTGTATAAGCTACCAATATATTTTCATGTGATTTCTTTTTTCCATGAAGCTAGGTTTTACTTTCCATGACAAAACTTAGGAAAAAGCCTTTTTATTCAAGTTACACAGTCCACTTTGCTTTGCAGTTTACTTCTGTATTTCTAAATTTCTTTACAAATAGAAAGAATGCAGAAAGAGAACTGATTTTATAGACATAAATTCTTCAGGAATTGTTCCCTTTTGAAATAAATTCTCATCTCCTACTCTAATTTGTGTAATAAGAAATAGAATCTATTCCAGCCATGAAATATCAGTAAACATTAAATAGCAATGAAGTTCTGCAAGAAAGACACCTGAAGCTTTTATTCTAAGCAAGTATCTATTTCCTGTTTGTGAGCTGTTTTCCTGACACTTCTTTTGCTGTTTAAATTTCACATGCTCTTTTCTTAAAATATCCTTCCCTTATTTTGGTGGCATAACTCTGTCTCTGACTTATTGTTTTCTATAAACATGTGAAATGGTCTCCGGCATTTTGTTTGACTGTTGCAATTTAAATGTTCTAATAGTAAAAATAAAAAAATTCTTCCAGCTGAAAATCCAAACTGAGCTTGCAACTCCATTTTTGCACCATACTGAAATATAGGAAATTTTCCTCCGACAACAGCAAGGGGATTTCAAAACTGAACTGATGCTCTGAATAAAAAATCCACTTGGGGCTTGTTTATCCATTCTTCTAGTTTTTGAACAAGAACTTTTTTGTTACTTAATTCCTAGGAATGTTAATGTTCTCATTTAAGCTACCAATAACACATGGGGCAGAATACCAGCCTAAAGAACAACACTCCTTTGAGTCAGGGCTTTCCGGACTAGTCAAAGGAATCAAGTAGAGGTAGGTAAGTGGAGTAATCAGTTTGATACATTATATGGATAGTGATGTTGCTCACTTACTGGCAGCCGCTGTTCATTTCTGATCTGGAAATGTGTGACCTGATTCCTCTGCCTTGCCCAGTTGTGAGCCGAAATGTACAAATGACAACAAAGGTTTCAGAGCAAGCCTAAGCCATGACTAAGAAGTGGAGAAATGAGCTCTTGAGTGAAGGACTAATGGCGCAAATCAAACTATCAGAGTCATGTCTGAAGGGGTGGCAAAATCTTCTAAGAACAGGGAAAGGTATCACCATTGCTAGTGGTAGAATGCTACATCTCCATCACACCTAGCAAGCATCTCCTCCCCTCTTTGAATGCAAAACTGTTAACTACAGTCTGAGAAGGTTCAGTTGACAAAGATGAGACTCTGGGAAAAAGAAACAAAGAAATTATGGGGGAAATATGGTTGCTAGTCCCTGGATGGCATTTGGTCAGCACACTTCCCTCACACAATACAAAGAGGGACTAAATGGAGTGTGGAGTTGTCAGGCTCTGTTGAAACCATTGCAGAGGAGGGAACTTGCTGGTACTTTTTAGATGATAAGCTACATAGCAGCTGGAAACCAAGGGAGATAAAGGAAGATATTCTGCTGTTGAATCAGCAACTGTGGTAAAATCAGTCTCCTTGGATTGACGGATATCCCCATCCATCCCCATTACATAGCATCCCACCGTTTTTATAATGCTGGTAACTGATTACACATCCTTTGTTTGGGAAGTGGTCTGAGCAGTTGTATCAGCTGGCTGTTTAAGCCTAAACATGCTGTAGCAATGTCACTGACTGAATAGTTATTACATGAAAATACAGTTTCAAGATTCAGCTAAAAAGAAGCCTAACTTTTTTGTACCTGAAGGTGGCAGTAAAGCCACAGGGAAGAGACTCATCACATTGCTTCTGTAGGGCCAGGTTTTTGAGAGGAAGTGCTAGCACACCTAGCAAGTCTTGCCTCCAGACTGTAAAATTTGTATTTCTTACAAGTGTAGTGGACTAGGAAAGCCAGTGGAATTATATTCTAGTATTCCCTGAAGAATGCATTAATTAGTCATATCATTGTATTATACTTATTTTCCTCCCCTGACAAATCCTGGGTGAGTGAGGAACTCCATTCTTTGGCGGTTTTAGATCTACATAAATTTATTACTTATATTTATTTGTTCATTCTTTTTTTTGTCCCTGTTTTGTTAAATAATTTGCATCATCAAATGTGAATATCAGTAACAAGTAAGGAAAATGTTCCTATATCTGCTACTCATAGTTATTGTCATATGAGACACAGAGTTACTCAACAATGCTATACAGAAAATGAAATTGTCCTCTCACTGTCTGGTAAAAAAATCAACAAAACAACATTTCCAGATATTTTCTGGAAATACTGTGATATTCAAAAAGGTTAAATTTGGGATAGAAAAATACCCTAGCAAAATCAACAAGAACCTAAAACACCACTGACATGTGAACAGTAAATACAAATATAAATGTTTTGACAACTTATCATCAATCAAAAAATTATTTTTTCCACATAAAATATTTTTTTCACATTTTTTTACATAAATTATGTAAATACATACTGTATTATCTCTGTTCTGTTTATGCAACTCAGATGCATGGAAATTAGATTAACTTATCTTGAAACTGTATAATTTTTCTTAATTGGTTTTCCTTGTTTGAAACCTGCTCTTCTTCAAAACACTTTTTCTTCCTAATGTGGCAGAAAAAAAATATCTATGGATATGTTTTCCTTAGACCTTAGCAGAGACCACTGAGAATCTATCTATATATTCTTACTAATAATGATATTAATTTCAGGACACTTCCAGGGTTTTAAATATAATTAGTTAGTACTAGATGGTCTATTGTTCATGATGAAGTAAAAGAAATTATCTGTGAAATCTTTTTTATTGCAGCTTATGCCACAAATGCTTTTATTCCTTTGATAATATTTTTACAGGATTAGCCCCACAATTAATGCTACTAAAAGTATCCAAACAAAGTGCTTACAGCTTCCAGAATAGCCATTGAATCTGAAATTCTCCCAGTTGTAAACCAACAACTGAAAAGCCTCCTAAAATGACATGTGAAGACGTTGGCACATCTTCACATAGCAGGGGCTGGCTACTGGGAGATGTGAATCTAGCTGTAGCATGTGGTTCGTGCAATTCAGTGTTTGCACAAAGAACTAGAACACTTACTCTGAAACAGAAAATCTCCATGGGCCCTGTGCAGTAAGTCAATGGTCTTTCTAAAACTTCTGTTACCAAAAATATAACCAAGTTAAGCCAACATGTTTCAATGGTAAGTAGTACCATGGCTGTAGAGAAACAGAACCAAGACTGCTTTTAACCACACAGAGCGCTCCTGCAATCCAGCAGCTAGAGAAAACTGGTCACTCAAGAATGTAGTTTTTATTTGTCTCCTCTTAAAGGTTGTTAAACAATTAGTACCTTGGAGTTTGCTAACTATTCAAAGGCAGTTTTAACATACAGATATTTCCAATCAACAGTGTTCCCAGAGCCTTAAATACTCAGATTTTTACTGTGCTGAAGAACCTAGTAAGTACAAAGTTTTGGGGTTTTTTTCACTTACCCTTTGAATAGATAAGCACCATAAGCACTTTTGTAACATCCATCATGGACAGTACTTCTGTATATTATGTTAATTAGCCCTTGGACTCAATATAATTCACAACCAATATACAGAGAGGAAACCAGAAGAACCTTTCTTACATATTATCCACTATTACTTAATGTACAGGGAATAGATCTTCCTCTTGGAAAGGCTAAATGCCCAGGCCAAGAACCTATCCAGGATACTGATTTCAAAGAATGGTACTTATGTTGACCTCTAATACTGAATTTTCTACCTAAACTGATTTTTTTTCCTTTCTCAATATTATCATGCAAATTTCACAGACAGGGTGGCACCACATAAGTACCTGATTTGCAGTTGAAAAGATTTTAAAATGGCATTTAATTTCAGATGAAAACCACTTTTTGAAGTGATACCTGAAGAGGCCACTCGAAATTTGATGTCTTATCTCCCCTAATTGTCCCTTGGAGAAAGTGCACAATGGTTTTAACAATAGTGGTAGATGGCTAGGTATGTCTAAACAACCTGTCCTCAAGAAAACAGAAAAAGTTAATATTTCTTCCTTTACTATTGTCCAGTTCTGGTCTTTCATTAGACAAGCATCCCATAGGTTTCCTGTACTAAATTTTAAAACTAATTGATTGTGAATTAAAAATTAACTTAAAACTAAGAATCTTTAAGCAGTACCTCCATTAAGGATGCACAGTTTGTCATAATAGCTGGAATGATGAAAAGCATTTAAGATGCTGGAATTCACTCTTGACCTGCTGAAAGGCCACAGGATAGCAAAACCAGTATATTTCTGCTGCTACGCTATTTCAGGGCTAAGAATAACATACAGAAGGTCTTGTATTCATGGATCATATGGCACTCACATACTTCCACCACAGTATACAGCTAGACATGTGCTCCACTGATTTTCAAAATCTAGCCACCTTTTTCTTCCATCTAAAAACTATATTTGGCAGCACAGCAAGCAGAAACTAGTTATCAGTTTGTCCACAACAATCTCCTGAGGCTGACAGACATACCATCTATCAATACTGTCGGTCACAGGACAAAAATTAAATTAAGTAATTTCACACTGAAGACTCAGTTAAACAGTGCAGAGTCCACGGAAATTATAGAACAAGATAATCTTAAGTTAAAAAGGACATGGACATAGTTTTGGACATCAAGACAAACAAGAAATCCCAACAAAGCATAACTGTTAGGTAGAAAAACTTTATAAGCAGAAGATAATAGAGCTAAGTTATTCCTGACTTCTCCATTTTGGGTAACACAGTGGAGCCAGGGACGTGTTTCACTAACCCATGTGTTCCAGTCTGTTATGTGTAAAAGCAGGCACTGTGATGATTTATACAGTCCTCTTGACAACATAGTTAACAGGGTGTAGATGAGAATAGAATGTGACCTCTGTGAACTACAGGAGTGTAAGATTTACCATAAGGGCAACTTCCAAATTCCACCAAACCAAACTTACATATTGAACTTTCTCCTTCCTTCAGGAGCCAGTGTGAAACACTTTGGAGGTGGGAATTGGACTGCTGAGAGGTGTGACAGGAGGTAGACATCTTGATGCCTATGTTATGGCTAATATAATTTCTATAGGTTTTGCCATGATTATAATAGTTAGGAAATGTATTTTCAAAAGCAGTGCATGCACTTGGTATCTAAACAAATTTCTGATCTTCATCTGGGAAGGAGTTCCATAGTTTCATTGCAAGATACGGGTATAAATATTTTCTTTTATCAGTTTTAATTGCTTCTTTTCAGTTTACCTGAACATTGACTTATTTTCACCCCTTTTTGTAATGAAAGATAAAAATCCCCCATGGATTTAATTTCTGTATCTCAGGTTTATATTGCTAACAGTACATTCCTAATGCACCTTAGATATAAATATATTACATGATTGATGATGTACTGGAACAACTTCAAACAAACAAAAAAAATTACTTCTCCAAGAAAAAAGGAATTTTATAGGTCTGTGGAAAGAAGGCTCTAAAATAACTTTTCTCTGTGAACCTCAACAGACATGAGAAATTTTGAAAGAGTCTTAGTTCAACTAATTTGTCCTGAAAGTATTTGCAAGCCAAATCAAAAAGTCAGATATCATTTTGTGTGCATGGATACTACAAAGTTCTGTGACTCACCTGCACAGCCCAGAGGTAGTCCAGACGCAGTTTCAAATCCACCTGTCTTGAATGCAGTGCCAAAGCACAAGAGAAAAGCAAAATAGCTAGTATTGGTTCATAGCCACGCATGTAAAAGGAGCCACCCCTTAAAAACAAGAAGAAAGTAAATGGGTTATTCCAGGTTTTCCAATACCTAACACCACATACTTTTAATATCAAATTTTTGGTTTAGAATGTGTGGGTACCCCCTAATCAATAGCCTTTTCTGAAAAAACTTATCTGGGCAGGGCAATGGATGACACTATATCTGATCACTGATCACACAAACAAGCAATTTCTTGAGGACTTTATAATGCTATGCATTATTATAATGTGTGTGCATGCTTTTAATTAGGAAACATATCAACACTGAAAAGCTCAAAAGCTTAAATGAAATTGGAATTGGTTGAGGGCTGCTGAAATATGGAAGTGAAGTTTTTAACTGTTTTCTATTTTATATTATAGTTAGACTGCAGTGTATTCAGCTGAAATACGTTACCATAAAACTACAGAATGCTAGCTCCTAAAAGCTGATCTCCTGTTGATGGATATTACTAGATCCTACAATTGCTGGGGACAGGATGTTTAAAGTATTTCTTATGCTTCCCTGATTCTATAGCCCTAAGCAGCACTGAACACTAGAGGACAATTCACAGATGACTAGTCAATGTCATGACTATCTACAGAGAATTGCCCATTGCTTTAACTCTGCAAGATACCTACCCCAATGCTTTTCTGTAACCACTGAGTTCCAGAATAACTATGTACAAAATTGTAACAAAAAGCAGGAGAATCATTTTTGGCAAGGAAGATACTCGTAGAAATATTGCCAAGGTGAGAGTCCCCACTACACAGGAAAGGAAAGCATAGTGGGCTGTGTCACATGGAAGTTCATTCATTGTTTTATTTGTTCCACCAGGAGATATTATAACTATTGAGCTGCTGGAATTGGTATTCCAAACCCAAGGCATGCAGCCAACCTAGAAAAGACAGGAGAGGCAAGAAGGGGAGAAGGTTAAATACAAAATAAACAGAAATGTAATTGCTATGAAGGCTGACAGTGGTTCATTTCTAATTGGGAAAATATGGCTGTGCAGTTCCCACCCAACTCAATGTTGTATTAAAATCTCCTTTTCCTGCAATGCTTCATGGAGTTTTAGCGGAGGGACAAAATTTGTTCATTAGATGCCAGTAAGGGCAAACAGCTGAAGTTTGGGCTTAGCTGAATAGTTTCTTTCTCAGTGCTCAAAATCAACAGATTCTCACACCAGCATATTCCTGCAAAATTAAGGAACTTCAGTTAACCTTTACCATGGCCATGCAGGTGAAGAAGGATCTTGCACAGAGCACAGAAATAAATGTGTTTGTTTTATTGACTATGTAAGTCATATAAATTTTAATTACTTAAATACAAAATAAAATATGTTTTAATCATTGAGTGAAAAACTAAACATGAATAATATCTTTTTTCCACCTCAGAGCTACTTCTGCTGTCACATATGGTTCAAAAACAAGGACTCAATTATCCCTCTCATTTCAGTTATCCAAGGAGTTCCATTTCCTCCCTAGACTGGAAATAAAAAAAATGTTTTAGTGCATTTCTTATGGGAAATTTGGGGAAATTTAACCTGGTTTTTCTAAAGGCAATGTCATGTACACATTTCGGAGCTGTTACCCAAGGAAGAGAGGAATTTCTGGCAAATAGTGCAAGTCCCTAGAGCTCCAGTTTTAACTGCAGTCCAACCTTCACCCCTAACGAAGGAAAAGGATAAGAGTTAGTATAAGTGGGGAGAGTGGGATGGTAGCGTGGAATTGATTTTAACAGGCACTGCCACATATGCCCTGCCCTGTACTTAAGCTTCTCTTTTGAAGTGTGTTATAAGACCTTTTTATTTCATCCTAAGCACTGACAATGAAATTTTATACCATGCTGTAAAGTAACTGACAACCTTAAGGGTGATTAAGCAATGTACTTTACAGGGGGTTGTAGTAATTTAAAAAGATGAAATATAATAAATATAATAAATATAACATTGTGAAATGAAGGAGTGAAGTGAAAAATCCCTTTAATGTGATTGGGTTCAGTATCCTTAAAAATGCTCTTCATACTAAACTCATCCAAAAACATTCACAGGCATGAGCACTTCATCAGTGATCTGCAATCCACCCAGGAAAACACCCTCTGCTGTACAACCAACAGTGAAACCTCAACACCTAGCTCCTCTGACAGATGAGAATTCTAGAGGCATTACTTTGCAGGAACTATTAATTTCTATGGATGAAACATTTCTCTCTAGGTTACAGGTTATTTTTGTTAAGGAAAGGATAATGTTGTATTTGTGACCTATTTTAAGTCCTAACTGAAGGATCACTGCCTTGTTGGAGGTCAGAACTTCTGAATTCTAATCTGACTTCTTCCACTGTTGTTCAACGTTTCTTTAGGGCTTACGATGTCTGTTTCTCATTTTCACCATCTTAAAGCGGCAATGATGGTGTTTGTTTCATTCGGTCAAAGTGTCAGATCTACGGAGGCTGACTCACAAAGATTTCAGCTGTCATAACATTAGTCTTAATCCCAAAGTCATATACACAGAACTTGCTGAGAAGCTAACCTGGAGGCACTGCACAGCTCTATGCCTTTTGGGCTAATGTCTGCACTGAGAACCACATATATGCCTGTGTTCTGTTAAGGCCGTGTGTTAACTAACAGCTGATGTTCAGGGATTCCCAGGAATGTCTCAACATCAGTAATTCTTGGTTTCTCTCAGGACATTGGAATTCACAGAGAAGGGATCCGCTGTCCATTCAGTTCATGTGGATAAGCTTGGTATAAGTTCTCAGCGCAGGTCCAGGAACGAGTGAATACACAAAATACAAAATAAGGGGCTTGGTATTTCAGTTAGCACTGAGAATTGCTCATGTCTTCTTAATGGTCAGAATACATTGTTTAATTCCCCTAGAGAGGCATGATTTCACACATCTGCCTTCTTAGCATTTCCAGTTGTGTTTAGTGTGCTACTTTTTGTGTGGATTCTTTCCTTTGAGTATCCTCACATGTTTAATACATTAGCATTAGCAGCCAAAATGCTGAAAATGAGTGTTTGGTATTTGGCAAGGCAACTGAATGACAAATATTTAGGTGGAAGTTTAAATTTGAATTCAAGTCCACCATGTAGAACTAGCTGCTAATCTACAGTAAAAGAGGCTCAAGTTTCAGAACTGTTAAGCAAGGTCACTTCATAGAACAGAAGCTTTCTAGATATTAGATGTGAATGGATTGCGTAAGTAGCACAGTGTAAGCACCTCTTCTTGTTACACAAAACTGTCCATATTTTAAGATGTCTTTATCTTTTCTGATCTGTCTGGACTAAAAATATCCCCCTGTTATTACACAGAAATATGTTTTATAAGTTGCCACATAGAAATAGTAATCTTGTTTTGACACCATGCCTTGTCTGTCACAAAATATTAGCCAGTGAACTAGGAAGCAAGTTGAACATTTAAAAAGAATTTTCCCATAAAGTACAAGACATCAGCAGACTATATGATACTAAGTTTTGATATACAGATTTCTATAGGTGTTGACTAGGTATGATCTGTGCAACTTGCTAATTGCTTTGCCATTCCTAATTCAACACCTTGTCAGTTCAAGTTCAAATTACAGCAGAAGGGTTAATTTTGAAGAAACATGCCCTGCAAGTACAAATAATAAAGAGAGTAGGAATTCACCAGACGAGACTATGGTTGCATTTATCAATGCAAACAACTATTGCATTAATAATTGCATTTATCAACGTGTTTAATGGATCTGTACCACATTGTTCTTTAAACATAATGTTAAGTGATACTTGATATAAATACTCACCACACATCCTTGAGCCACGGAGTATATTAAGATCACAATAAAAATACACAAAATGGTACGAATTTGTATTGTCAGGCACCCTGGAAAACACTAAGGAAATAAAAAGAAAGATTTATAGATAAATATTTTAAAATATTTTAAAGTGGGGTAGATATTTTTTAGTAGTCTATAATAAAGGTGAATAAGGGATATGGAAATTTAGCCTGCATTGCAAATTATGAAGCTGCAGTTATTGTTGTGCAATAACTGTTATGCAGTTATTATTGTGTAGATGTGTTTTAATGGTAAACGCAGCTTTGGGGATAATAAATATGAAATTATTACTACTATGCATTATTTCTCACTATAATTAAAACTCTTAGAAAGTTTAATAGCATGTCTACTCATGATGCAAATAGTAAATTAGGATGGCACTTGATCTTGCTCTCATGGGAAAAATATCCAAAGCAACTTTTGCCTTGCAAATTATCAGTTCCAAATTGTGACCCAAGAGAACATACTGTGATAGCATAGAATTTTGGAGTGGTATTTGTGTCTTCTGTTATAATAGTCATGTTAAATGCCATGCCCGGGTAGTCTTAATTATCAGGACTCATTAAAAATATTGAATTTGTCAGAAAGAGCAGTAGAGAACAAAAATATCTGGTGAAATGGAGTCTTGCTTATCTCCATTTTTACTCTGATTTCATCTATCACACTTCTAAATGTGTGAAGTTCTTGCTGCTATGAAGCCTATGACAGAATGTGAGAGAGGAAGGGTAAGTCTGTCAGACTTGTTCCAGTCATACTGGTCTATTCTGCTTTCAGGTAAAGCTGCTTTCCTTCCTTACCCCTCTCACTATGAGTGTGTGGAGTATTTACTACATACTGGATCTGTGATATATCTTTCAGACCACTGGACTTCTTCCAGTGACTTCAAGGGTCAAGAACCAACTCCAAGAAACAATCAGATTTAAAGTGGGGACAATCCTATATTCTTTAAAAGGAGGGGGCTCAGATTTATCAAGGTTGAATTTGACTTAAAGTCAAAGAGAGAAAGCAAACACCTGATTTTTGGATGAAAATCACCAGTTGTGAAGGAAAGCTGTTCACTTCATGGCTATCACCAACATCAAAAGCATAGCTTCCAGTAGGCAGCAAAGTAGTCACAGAGAGGGACTACTGTAGCCTTGGCACAACAGAAATCATATATTTAAATACCTTCCCTTCCTTTCACATATGCAGAGACATTTCCCCTGTATGTGTGACCATGAATTAAAAATTGAGGTAATTATAGGTGAATCAACTTTGTTTGGGCTGTGACACATGAGAATACAGCAATTACAGCAGAAATAAAATGTATGAACTGCAAATACATTCTGACTTCAGTATGAGTTAAGTCCATGTAAGTGTACGTGTGGGACAACCAACATAATATCAATAATAGATTTGTATTATGGACCTGAGTTACTTAGATACACCATAAACCAGATTAACTATTAGTCAGCATCAATAAAATACGTTACGATACTCAAGGTATATCAGCTTTAGTAAAACAGTGAGCATATTGCTGAACAAATACCTCAAATTGTAAGAATCCGAGATTGAAAAACTGTGTCTCAAGGGAAAAGATACAGCATTGTCCAAAATTACATTATGAAAAAAGACAGACTATTTCCACATTCATTCATCACTATCATACAGTTCAGGTTGGAAGGGACCTCAGGAGGCCCAAAAGTACTGTCTGCCTTAACCCCCAGAGTCCCGGGGCTATTTTTGCAGAGCTGGTCACTCCTCAGCCTGTGTTATTGCAGGCAGTTCTTTCTTCTCAGGGCCTGGACTTTCCATTTATGCATGCTGTATTTCATAAGATTCCTGTTGGCCCATTCTGTCAGCCTATCCAGAATCTTCTCAATAGTCATCCTGACAGCTATTCTCCCAAAACTGGAGTCACTTCACATGAGTATACTCCCTGTCCTTCTCCAGGTTGTTGATAAAACTGTCTAACAGGACAGGATTCAGGATAAATGCCTGTGGTACCCCCCTTACTACCAAATAGAGTACAACCATAAACTGCTATGCTCTGAATTTGATCATCCCAATGGCATTTTACCCATCAAATTGTCCACTGAACTAGACCAAAATCCTATACACACATGGTGTGGAATGTCCAGATTTATCCACATAAATTAAAAAAAAAAGTTAATTTTGTTTGAAGGAAATATATACATTCCATTAATTCAGTTTGCAATCAAATTCAGTTTGCAATTATCTACTGCTTATTAAAGAGAGCTTGAAGATAATGAGGGATTGTTAACAATGACAAAACAACGCACAGATTCAAAGACCATGTGTCCTGACACATTGTACAATTTTTTTTGGTCTGTGTGGTAATAGATGTTCTATATGTTGATATGCTAGGCTATTGTTTTAAAAAGAAACATTTAAAAGATAAGGTATGAGACATGTCTGAATTAAAACTCTGACACTAACAAGATTTATACTTCTGACTTTAAGTCATTCTAAGATTGTATCCGCTTTTTTACAATAGCATAGAATTTTGTGCACTATTTTCTTTGTTTTATTTTATTTGTGGAATTTTTATTAACTATATAAGTACTGTCAGAGCCTCAAAATGCTAGGTAACTAGTACAGTAAAACATTGTCATAGTGGTTTTAGGAGTAAGGCATTCAACGGTAAAGCATGGAGAAGCTGAGTCACTTATCTAGTGTGAAAGAAAAAATAAATGACAGAAGACAGATTAAAATAGGGGAATAACTGGTTTACATTCTATACATTCTACATCCTTTATACATAGCATATTCATTATATTTTATTTACTCTATAAGACAAATTTTCACCACAAAATTTTAAACTGCGATATTCTGATGTTTTATATTTCTTTATTTTTCTAATGGTGGATTTGATCCTGTAAGGTATTGAATCTATATAGGAACCTGGAATAAATACAGATTTTGTTGACAAAACGGATGGAACACATCTCAAGTTTGCACTAACCCCAGGGAAACTGTATGAAGAGAAGCAATTTCCCATAAACTTCATCTGTGTTTCTACCATCTACACAGAGAAGAATAGATGATAGACTACTTTGCCTTAATGAAACAAAAGAGATCATCAAAATTACTCCCAAATAATTGTGCAAGTTTATAAATATGGTTCTACTCTGTACCTGATACTCTGCTAATATGCTATTTAAGTTTCCATGAAAACAATTACTTTTCTCCTGCCAAAGGACATTTTTTTGAACTAAAATTAGTGTGTGCTAATCAGAAAAGCTGATTAACTGTGTAGGTGTTTTGTCCTGATATTTGTCTGAAAAGTCTAAATTTAGATTAATCCGCTACAGATTTCTTTAATCAGAAAATCAGCCTGTAGATGCTTTATTCTGATGTGGCAGACCTAGTTCGCTAATAATGCAATCAAATGTCCTTCTACATCATTACTGTTGTGAAAATATAATGCAGGAGAATTAATCATTACTAAAGGTTTTGAAAAGGCCAAGGTTTATCTGTGCAAAACATTGTACTTTACCATCAAAACACCTGCAGCTTTGGCAGGAAAAATTTTGAAAACAGAAGGGAATTTAGCAGGACTTTACACCCAGATACCAGCTGAAATGGAAGGGAGAACTAGTGTGCTCTGCTGTCAAAAAGGAGTAGAAGTCAGATTAAAGCAGTTGTTTTTCTGAACACTGCAATGATTCAGTACCTAGTTGTAAGTGTCAAGGGACGATGTAGTAAAAAAGACAAAAAGCATAGAATTAATGGCACTGAATGCTACAGTGCTGTAATGATTACTCATGTAAAGTCTACTTTCAGGTGATCCATCTTTGTTTTTGAAGTGCCTAATACACATTACTTCACAATGAATTTGAAAAGCACGCAGATTTCAGACTCTATGAATCTGTGAAACTTACACAGATGACTTCATGTTCCAAAGAACAAGCATAGCATGGACACCAAAAAGAAGAATAGTCATAAAATCTTAAATCACTTACTTGTACTCGTGTGACATGTAGATACATAATACAAGCCACTAGGAAGCATATGCAGAACACCAGGAGAACAAGAACTACGGTACTCCTAGAATCAAAATACAACAGAAGTAATGCAACTCAGTAGCAGATGAGAACAAACTGCCGTTTGGGGTCCTTCTAAAATGGTATTTTAAACCAATAGTGTAAGATCTCCTCCTCAACCTTGCTGTAATACTAACCACAGCAGAGAAAATTTAACAGTGAAGGGCACTCCTCTCAAGACTAAGACACTAGTAAATGGTCTTGTATATGGTTCCCACTCTGGACTCAGCAAGGATATCAAAGCACCTCAAAAATTCAAATATATGGTGTGTCAGGAGAGACACTTTCTAATTGTAGGCTAATACAGAATATTCAGCATGATGATTCTCATAAGGGAGTATGCAACCCAATTACTTGGCCTTGGCAGCTATGTAACAGTTACCAGATGCTTTTTCCCTCTAATCTCTCTTTCTCAAAGATTCAGAAATCAGAGGTCATTCAACTCAGTCACTTACCAAGTCAAACAAAATCAGACCAGACTGCCTTCTAATGAAACAGAACAGAACAGAACTCCTTCCTCAGTCTTTCTCAATGGTTAGACAAATCTTAGGTTTCACAAAGAAGTTGTATTTTTTAATTCTAAATCTTCCCTCTCCTGATCTGTCAAAATAGGCTTGTTCTTCATGGGAAGAAGGGTGAAAACCAAGAACTTTCCACCTCCAGAAAACTTCTGTTATTGGAAAAGTACTGTATGGATGTGTGCAACTTGACAAAAATAACTCCACCAGTGCTGGTACTGGTGCATTTGATTTTTACTTAGGGATAGCCCCGCCCCACGCCAGCCATGGAACCAGGGCTGCATGACATCAGCATAACACAATCTTCACATCTTCTTTTCTAGCTTGTGAGAACAAACCAGCCAGCCCAGAAGATGTGAGTCATGGTTTCATATATATGTATCTGTGTGTTGATGATTACTGGGGAAAGATTGGTTATACAGGGTTTTGAACAGCAGAAGTGTGCAATTCTCCTGTATAATTTCTAACTATTTGGCTTTGATTTCAAATTCATATAATGATTCCTACCGATACAGGAACAGGGAAAATTCTGTATTGTAGTATGTGTAACCAGAATGGGGAGGTAACTCTAGTACGGTCAGTGTGGATTCTGAATACAAGTATTAATAGACTACAGGCTCTCACGCTTCTAGAGAATTGACTTGTATTCAGGATGGTAGTATGCTAGAAAAGAATGCAGGGGCCATGAATGCAATGACATCTTTTAGGCAGCAATAACCAACAACTGACATTAGTGTTGAGTGGGACCCTGACAGACATTTGGGTTGGCATTTGTAAAAGGGGCTACATTGTTTTTTAAAAAATAAACACATTATAAGAAATCAGAAAGGTTCATCATCAGAGCTTTTAATGGCTACATTGCATGTATGTCTCCATAATTGGACAGATTAGGTTGACTGGAATACAACCTTACTTTCACCAACTCCATCTGGGGACATGAAATATGCCTTTAGCTGAGAAGCTGTTTTGCTCAGATGATGATAAGAATTGTGAGAATGTCAAGCCCATTGCTTTCTGTGTATTTATGCAGCAACTGGCTTTCGTACAACATGTAGTTGTCTAGATTTTGAACCTCCTCCTTGGAATATTGCCATACATCACTTCTTCCATTAGAATAACATATCAGAAGTCTTGTTTTGGCTTTTGCATTCTTTTGTCATATTTATAACTGCTTTGGCAATCTAAAGAGCAGCCCAAAGCTCCAAGTTCTGGGGAGAGGGGAAATTTTCCTATACTTCCAAAGTTTTAATTTAGTTCATGGTTGCATATGTATCACAGTGAGGGAAGAGCCCAAGAAGACTAGTAATTTGGCTAGAATAACAGACACTGGAAGAAAGAACTTAGGAGCATTCAGTGGATGGATTTCCTAACTAACCCAGTCCATCTTCATGACCTTCAGTGGTGATATTCTGCTGGAGCTTGTGTGTCTGTCAGATCAGAGCTTAAACTAAATCTCTGTCCATCTGTTTTTTAAGTGACAGTACTTTTTGGAAAGGTACCATATGATTCTTGGAAATTCATTCTATTTTTTTTTTCACTTGTTTCTCCTTGTTCAAAACTGCCATATACTGCAGCTGTGGTTTACTGCAGAAGAGGGTGAAAGACTTCTTAATTATGTTCCAATTAGTCAGCAAAGTTGTTATTCTGGAAATGATGACGTAAGTGATGATTTTTGCCAGTGTTTCTCAATCTTTCAATAAGAAATAATAGACCATAAAAGTATTACCCTGACTGGGGATTTGTGAATAGAAAAAACCAGAATTTTAAATAGGATTTTCATTAAGTGTGGCCACCTCTATTCTCACTGAAATTGTAATAATTAGTAAAAGTGAGTAAAGTTTATTTTTAATGTTTTGATATTCTAATATAAAAAAGCTTATTAATAATAAGTTTTATACCTTAAACACAATTCTATCTACTTATTATAACCTCTAGATTTGAAAGTGAAGTTTAATTATTTTTTACTTAGTAAGAAATCACATAGAATTGACAAAATCTGAAGCAATCACTAAACTGTATCACTCAGCAATAGTAATAGAACAGCCCCCAAATACATCATGAGCATTTGGTTTTGTCTGGGTTAGCGCAGTCAAGGCCTGATTGCAACTTATGAGTGCATGGCCAAACTATCCACTAGGCAGTTTATGTAGTGATAGCATTGATACAAAAAACCTCAATGCAGGCTATAAATTTTGGGTCGAAAAGCTAGGTGGATACTTCAGTACTTACTTTCCATTAAAATCCGTATAGTTTTATCTATGTTGCTATCAATACCTGAAGCACCTCATCCAAAGTCAGCACAAACACATCTAAAAAAGCTGTAGTAAAACCTTTGTTTGTAGCACAGAAATGCTTTAAATAAGTTAGAAATAAACATGGAAAGTTTAAATAAGTTTAAATGTGTTTTTTCCTTCCAAGTGCATCCTTCTACCAAAAAAAAAAAAGATAGTGAAAAGTGTCTCCTTTGGACAAATAGATGGAAAGAGATTAGATTGAGAATATATAGCAGAGAATCTCCTATATTAGAAGATGCCAACTTTGGTGCTCATTCCTGTTCCGAAGACTTTAATGTTTTGATTTGTGCAGGATGTCTGAAGATGTTCCACTTTGATTTATAACGGCAAAAGACAGAAACTTACTGTGGTATTATTAGAAGGTAGACAAGGCCAAATAAGGCAGCTAGAATTAATGAGAGAACTACAGCACTGGTGAAGTACTCGTCTTGAAGCTGGTGGTACTGTTAAAGAAAGGAAGAAATTAAGACAGTAGATATTTTACATACACCTAGTTAGCAACACTTGTCCATTCTCAGTAAGAAAGAACTATAGCCTAAAATAAAACAAGCTCCTACGTAGTTTGAAAACATACAAATAATCATGGCTTAATTCACATGAAAAAAACAGATGAGGCAAGTCTACACAACATTTTCCTTGACAGACTTCTGTTTTACCTTGTAACTAGTCAAAACTAGGTTAGGTTCAGATGTAAGTTTATCTTTTGGAGAAAAAAAATTCAGCCATTTTGAACTAGAAGGAGGTGGCACTTCCTATTCTCTACTTACTCATCATGAAACAAGGCTAAACACCCCTTGGTGCTGCCTTCAAGAAGTCCTGTCATCTCAGCTGCTCGGGACAGGACACTAATGAGTGGACTTGGAGGCAGCTGCTAATGAGATGCATGGGTTTAGTTTTGAGCAGCTACTGTCTTCAATTCCACTAAGCTACACACTTTACAAGATAACACTTTATAGGGGTAGAAACACATAAGTGTTTTCTCAGAAAGATTCAAAGTTCAATCTCATTTACATCAAAAGACTTTCTTATTTTGAAAGAGAACAGTTACACTCGGATAATAAATTACTCTGGAAACTTCAAATCAAAATTTATGCTCAAAACCTTAAAAAATTAGATCCAATATGGCACACAGACTTCTGACTTGAAACAGTACAGACATGAAATCTTAGACTATAAAGTGACTTACAGTAGAACATTAAATGTTACTACCAAATTAATCCAAAACCATAACACTTTTGCTTTTTAAAAAACACATAAACTACAGGCTGTAAATACAAACAATTTGTATTTACAAACAAAACCAAGGTAGGAACAATTGTTAGCTTATATGCATAGTTATAAGTCTGGAGTTAATCCACTGCTTTCAGCAAAGTCAGACTGGTGCAAGACCACAACCTTGCCCAGAGACTTAAGGGGTTTTTTTTGGTTATTTTCTAGAACTGATGGGATCAATACTTATCAGGCTAATATCCAGAGAGAAGCATCCTCCTGTCATTAAAACTTTTCCAGAGCACATGAGTTAGTAGGCAGCCACATTGCCATGAGACAGGGGACACAGGTCAGGCAGTTTGGATACGCAAAAGAAAGATGAAAACACAGGATATGTAACATTATGGAATAGGATCTTGGTAAGTAGGATGATACTGATCTTTCTTTTTATCCCCTTCAAGCGTTTCGATACAAGGTATAGATAATGTCTCCCTCTTAACTGAGAGACAGTCTAGTGAAGTATTTAACGATAGCGAGTAGAATTTAAATATTGTATAAAAACAAACAAAACCCCAATGCTAGGTGGCTCATGGTCAGTGAAATCAGTAAAAATAATTTAAAACTCCCTTACTTTATTTTCACGCTCAATTTGCTTATACTTCAGGGTAATGAAGTTCAAGTCAGCCATCTCAGACTCAGTTTGCCGGGCCTCTATCAAGCGGCTGATGTATCTGTTTACTCGAGTTCCTGGAGTGTTGTATACAACATTGGTAGAAAAAGAGGAACGATTCCTGAGTTTTTCAGAGGCTGTTCTTAATGCTCTCCTCTGGGGCACAGATGAAGGAAGAAGCATAGATTTTATTAGCACTGAAATTTTTCATTGCTGTTCATATTACCTCAAGCTCACAGTCAAGATGAGGAGTTCATTAAACAGAGTAACTACAAAAGACAGAGATCTTATCTCCATGCGAATGCCATCTTGTAAAAAACTCCTTAGCCGAAATCCTGATTTCATTCAAACCAATGAGAGCCCCCCCACATTGCATTCCAGGATTTTAATCCAGAAATTCTCTTCACACACTGCCCTGACACTTCTCTGCCACTGAGGAAATAATCAGTTTGCTCCCAATCAGTGTGACTTTACCTTGCAATTATTTTTTCTTGACAGAAGGCATGAAGCTCTGGACATCTTGAAGACAATATAATCAGGCTCTTCATGACACAAGAAAAGTCCTACTGTCTAGGTAGCAATGCATATTTTGAAAAGATAATTTTCCTTAACCACTTACAAAATGACCATGTGTGACTTCAGAGGGCCTGAAATCTCAAGTGTTCCTATCTTTAACTCACCCAAGTGGCTTTCTTGTTAAGACCTCTTGAGTATGCCTCACGTGCACTTGCAGATCCAGATGGCACAATCCAATAAATTATCAGAGCTAACCTGTGCCTAACTGGCTCCTTCATGGCTGAGGTAGCATGACTGTCAAGATGATCACTTACAGTCCCTTTCAGTGGAAAATATTTATCACAGAGCGTATCTGAAAGGGATTTTAGACAAGCTGTCTTGCTTTTCACAGAGAGCACTCGGGAGACCGTGAGCGGCATCTCCGCCACACTGGTGGCAACCATCAGTTGAGGGCACTGTAATCTAAACCATTATGGCTAGATCTGTACTACTATGAATAGAGAGGGATCAAGCCTTACTTCCCAGAAGAGTTTTGACAACCAAGCTTGGGCAAGTTCTACTATTTCTATAAAGTTAAAGGAATACTTTTTTATCTAACATCTGCGGAGTTCAAGACAATTCAAAACATTATGGAATGACAAGTTTGCTCAGGATATAATCAGTAGAGTCTGTCAGCAAGATGTTAAAGAAGCAAACAAAATTTCTCTCTTCAGAGCAGTCAGTACTTAATAAGCCCCTCTTTAAAGGTTACACTACAAAATATCCTTTTAAACCAGATAGTAAAAAAAGGTGGTGATTGCTATTTAAGCAATCCTGCAGGAATGGCCATTCCCTGTCTTATTCCACAAGTAGTTCTTATGAGATCCTCATCAGTAAACAGACTGTGGAGTACAGCAGTTCATTAGCTTACATAGCTTATGTTATATGGATATTATAACTGAATATGTATGAACAGCGGGAAGGGTTATCTGCTGACTGGCACATTAGCTTTCTGATCATAAAGAAAAATGGACCTTAGCAAAGATAAAAATAGCTTTCCCAGTCTTGCTTTGCTGGCTTTGCATGTAGAGAGGAGGCTATACCAGCACTAAACAATTATGAGGCTACTTGAAACATTTTTCTTCAAACTATCAGATCCCATTACTTCGTAAATTGTCTGTGGTGTAAGAACTAATTGTTTCAACGTGAAACATAATCTGGGGGACTTACATGGACTAGAGTTTTTAATTCTGATCTTCTGGGTACAGTTCGGAATAATTGAAATCTTAAATTGCCAGCCAAACAACTATTCTCAGTGTTTCTAAAGAGATAAATTTGTTCTCTTGCAGAAGACATTTGTCCCACTAGTTTGCAGGGAAACTGAGTGCTTTCAAGAATATTGTCAGGAATACATAATTTTACTTGACATAAACAATAATTAGTTACCATATGTATTGCATAAGGTGCAGCAGAAAGAACATCTTCGAGGATTTTTTACAATTCAAATTTAAGCCTATAGTATAATAACAGGGTGAGCAAAATAGCATTTAAAAAGAATGTTTCTTTGCTTTAAAACCTGGAAGGAGGGTAGATGATGGGTGTTATTCTGATATATGGAATAAATTGTATTATCTATTCTGCCATTTTGAAATAGGGTTAAAGTTACTGTTCTTAATCAAAATAGCTGTTCCTTACATATAATGATTTCCTCTGTGTCTCCTATTTTTATCTCTATTATTATTTCACACAGCAGACTTAGATTGCCTTATATGTGATCAAGCCAGTATTTATATTTCCCAGAAATGTACTGGTTTCAAAGCCTTTAAAGCCCTGCTTGTTTTACCTGATTTACATGATTTGAGGACTGAAAGCTCTGAAGAAACCCTGCACTGCAACACAGTGTATTTATATTAATAGCATATAATATAAATTCGTGATAATTTTTACATAAAAGTTACAAAAGCTCAAAACAATTGTTTCAGTTAATAACAGCATTGTAGAACTTCACTGAAAATGTTCTGACATGCAAAAATTTTCATCAGATCCCTAGCAAACTCATAGGGGTATTTTCTGTGTATATTACTATATTTATATATACATATACACAAGATACAATGCAAAATATTGCATATGTTTCAAAGAACGTGTGGGTTCCTTTTTTTAAATAGTAAAAGACAGCACTAATTCACAATTGGAAGGTCTTGTACATGGCTAGTTTCAAAATAAAATCTGGAGTTTCTGAAAGTCTCCACTGCAAATGTGTTTTAAAGATACTAACAGACTTTTCTGCCCTTTTCCTGCAGAAGAAACACAAGCATATGTAAAACTCAAAATATGAAATTTTGAATGTTTTCTGAAAGTAAGATTTAGACTGAATCTTCAATAAATGTACATTATTAAACAAAAATAACAACAAAAACCCCCAAACAAACAACCTTCCCCCCCAAATAATGTGGAGAAATCAGTCTAGCTGAATTACTGCTTCCAATGACACCACTCACTGGTGGAGTGACTATGTAATATTGCCACCTGCTGGCTAAGAAAATGGAATGAGCAATTCTAAAGGGTTTTTTTCATAAATTTCTGGGTAAATTCATGTACAGAAAAGGAAGTAAATCAGGCTACTAGTATGTAAAGCAATTTTGATTTATGGCATTACAAGGCATCCAAGAAAGCAGAATTTGTATTTGTATTAGGAACTTCCATGTTTAGGATTTGTATTAGGGACTAAGAGGGGTTTTGACTAATCAGTTGCCTTTCATTTTTTAGAGAACCATGTAGAGATATAAAATTATTCTGTTGCTTTGTATTTGCCATCAACAGCTTCAGACTGTGATGGACAAAAGATGCAAAATAATATCTCTTCAAAATGATGGAAAAAGCCTCAGAAACTCTAATTTCTGTGAAGGAAGCCCTTAATAGAAACCACATAAGCCACCTCTACTGGCGTTTCCAAGAGGTGCTTCAAATTTGAGGCCTTTTAAATTTTGTTTTTACAGTGAGCATTATATAATGCTAGCTTCAGCTCCAGTAGGAACACCAGAAACTTCTCTTTCAGTCGATAACATCACCCCTTATGTTCTCAAAGCAAGTCTGCTGGATGCAGTCCTGGAACTGATGCACAAAGAGTGCACATGGCCCACATGGATTACCTTATCATCATCCTCGCACGTCATGACATTGGAGAAAGGGATCTCTGCTTTGAACATCTTACGACAGTGCATGAGCTGAACAAGCAGATAGCAGACTGTCTTGAACTTCATTCTTTTTGCAGGCTTAATGTCTGAGAGAATCAGTCCAGGAAATATCTGTTGATCAGAAAAATAGTATTTATAACTGTCATTACATTCCCATGCAGACATATATACTTGCAGTCATTTGCACCACCTAGTGGTCATAACAAAGCAATATTCTAATCAAGAAGCAATGCATTTTGATAAACATCCTATATTTGCAAATGAAGATTACTTTATCTTTTTTAATCTGAGATGTAAAGAATCTATTGAACAGATTTTAAACTCATACTTAAAATTTTGGGAACTGTTTTCTACTTAGATATTTAGACTCTAAAACAGTGTATTAATGATAAACTCATGAAAGAGGCAATACTTGTATTTTTAAATGTTAAAATAAATTCTAGGAAAATATAGGAAAAATAATGAGGAAATCAGGATTTTTATCAGTCGATGTTAAAAAATGTAATTTCAGTCTTTTTCGTCTTTCCTCATTCTGCTATTTCAGCTATTGGTAAGCTCATTAAAATCTGAAAAGGATAGCTTTTGCTTTAAAGATAGACATATATATATATGCCTTAGAAGGAGTTTGTGAGGCACTGATGTTATATCTTACATCTTATTTCTTCAAAGCACAGAGCATTATACCACGGAGAAATACTCTCAGAGGGTTGGGTATAATCTATTCCTTTTACCACAGGATTCGCAGTTCAGCAAGGACAAATATTTTCTTGGTTAGCTCTTAAGCATGTATTTATCTCTTGCTGACTTCAGTAAACCCCTATTGTGTATTCAGATGCTTTCACAGACCAGAATATTCTATCCTTTGTATTTATACCAAACTTATTTATGCTTCTGTAGACATGTGGAATGTGTAAAGCAGTGTTAATGAGAAATGTGGAAGCCCCCCATGCTGCCACTGTATGGGACTTTAAGTTTGTAAAATACATATACTCTGAAACAGCAAAATAAAGTAGTACAGAGGACTTGGTCCCTAGTGTTCCTAGATACAAAAGACAGAGCAAATCATAGTCCAAAATCTTCATTCAAATGGCACTGAGAATTTGATGTGCAGTCTTCACAATACTGTGATTTACTAGAGCCATTTACATCATTACTTCAATGATCAAAGAACAAAGAAGAAACTGAAAGCATTTGTTTAATGCACATTTCCATAGACACTTAAATTTCGAGGGGCAGGGCAAATGACACTGTTTATGTTCCAAATGGCATCTCAGAGATTGGTTTGTTGTGATGTTTAACACATATAGCTAGGCACTTGCATTTTCTGGGTAATCAAGGTAATATATTATTGAACTCTCAATACCCTGTTCAGTCAGTCATGCTCTGTCTATGAAACACAAAAATGACCAAAATGTTGCACTATTTTTTTTTTCTAGCAGATGGCCATGTTATAAACATAGGACACGTTCCAAATGTGTAAAGGTGCCTAGGTATGCACATTTGCTTTATTGTGCACTGGAAGGCTGACTGAAGCCAGCTAGCATCACCAGCACTGCACTGCACAGTTGTCAGCTGAATTCTAAAAGGACATTAGTGTATTTGGTGTGTAATCACTTGTATAAGTGATAGTTTAACAAAAGTCTCTGCGAAGAGATTCCCAATATGAACCCTTTCTTTCAAGGGCTTTCTGGCAGAAGACTTACCACTGAATTGCACAGAAGATACTGTACAAGGATATTCACATACTAATCATCCTTTAGGTATTCCTAAGGACACCAAGTAGATGGTTGTTAGACTTGAGTATGGCAGATATGATCAGCATTTGAGCTACCATTCCCAACAGCCAAAACACGCTTTTTGGAGAGATACTCTACTTACAAATTTTCCTAATGTAGTTATAATTCCTCTAGAAGTTCTCTATATTTTACTCAGTCTCTCTATCAAAGTTTTGATACAACAAATTTAGCAACTTTCTTGAAACTTCTTCCAGTTTTGCATTTTGTTTCTTTTTTTTTCTTTTTTTTTTTTTTAAGACAAGGGGATAATAGGGGATTAGACAGAAGTTTACAGGTGGACAATATCTTAAGAAGTCATTAGCTCTTTTTTTGCTCAAACTTTTCAGTGTGGACATTGTATTAATTAGGTCAACAACTTTGGTTTTAGGTTGCCACTAGATTGGCTTGGAAAGATGCTTTTAAATAAATTTAGAGAGCAACAAAAGCTGCCTGACAGCCTTCATTATGGAAATGCCATAGTATAGACACAAGAGTGGTAAAGAATAGGTAGAACATCTTACTAGCAAAAGATTCAAGAAGGCACGATTCTGAAAGGTGAGCACATGGGAATGACTATATCCTCCTACGAGGAGAATAATTTAGACTGTCCTCCATACAAACTTCTTATAATAGATGTGCTTTTGAGAACAATCTGCAACTTGAAAATTTGGAATGAATACAGTCTGACTCAGCAGTGTGGCCCTGCCACCAACATGACTTTTCTTTAACCACATGTTTTCATTCAGTTTCCTGACTTTATCTTCAAATAAGGTAGAACATTTTTAGCTCTTACCATCAACAAGTCTCTTTCAGTTTATAAATCCTACTGGCAGATAATGTATCAACAGCATACACCTTTTATATATTGGAAATTCAGAAAAATTTTCGAACTGTTTTCAAGTTAAATGGAAATTTCAGCACAGGTCACTGGAAAAAATGGAGTAGAGTATCTACTTCTGAGCTCCCCAGTACAAGAAAAAACAGTGACAAACTGGAGTGAGTTCAGCAAAGGTTCACCAAAACAAGTACAGTTCTCAAGCACATGAGAACCTGAGGGAATTCAGTTCATTTAGCTGGAAGAAGAGATGCAGGGATCTAATTGCCATCTTCAGCCACTTAAGTAGTAGCTGGAGAGAAGACAGAGCCAGACTCATCCCAAATATTACCCAGAAAAAAGGCAATTAATATAGGCTGTACCGAAGGAAATTCCTATTTGACACAAAGAACAGAAGTTTACTGTGAGGATTATCATGTGCTGGAGCAGGCTGCCCAGAGAGGCTGCCAAATCTCCAGCCTGGTAAACACTTAGAACTCATTCAAAAGTGGATTTAACTGCAAATCTGGCCCTGCTTTGAGCAAGGAGGTTGACCACATGACCTCCAAAGGCCCCTTCCAAACTCAGTTACTATGCAATGCTATGAAAATTGGTGGAACACACACAGCTACTGTTCTTCATGGCTGGCCAAGAACATAACCACACAAAGGATATTGCATACACACAAACTGGGTACCCTGGTACTTCTCAGTAGATCATGTATAATTTTATATATAGTTTTGATTAGTTGGTTGGCGGGAGGTTTCTGGGGGTTTTTTTGTTCATTTGTTTGTTTTGGTTTGGTTTTTTTTAATCTAGTGGTTGCAAGACATATAGATTTCTGCACTGGAACTGAGGATTTTCCATTCTACTATTATATATACACAGTATCAAAAAGACAAAGGAGTTCTCTCACTTTCATCTCACAAATCATGTCTCCTTTTTATTATTGCTTTTACAGCAGAACAACACTTTTGACACTGAACTACTCAGTGGAATATTTAAGTAATCTCACCCTCTGCTCTAAGTCTCTGATAAAGTCAAGAAACGCAGTATAATTTGCTAAAACAGACTTAAAAAAAAAAAATCAAACAAAAACCCCAACCTCAGTGTCTTTCACTCTGCTTTTGCTCTGCTTTTGCTCCAGGCCAGCATTACAGGAAAGCTGGACTGCAGCATTCCCATTCGAGCTCATTCTGTCAAAACATTTTACTTTCACAGTTCTTTTTGACCCTCACGATCATCTCTAATTCTGTTTACTGTTCATTTACTTCATAATTTTAGCAAAGATTGGTTGTTTGCTGAAACACACCTGGCAAATAAGGTTAAGAGCTGTGATTTTCTAATAGAGCACTCTGAAAGCATCCAGGCTATCTACAGGTCTGTGAATGTCTTTAGGTATGCAGAATACAAACAAGTGCAGATTAGAATCCTGGGAAAACACCCCAGTGTTTGAATGCCATGTAATATTCTGACAAGCATTTAACTGGTGCTCACCTGAGATTGTCAGAAATGTCAGCAGACTGTTACTCCCCTAACTATATTCAACCACAGTGCATAAAATGGCATGGGAAAGAAGATACTAATGACATTCAAAACACATTTATAGAAACCATAAATGAGGTAGCACTATGTCTGTATGTGCTTTGTATCTTCAGGCAGGCATGACCATGCCTCTTAGTAGTAGTATTTGTTCCATTACCATCTTAGAGTCATTTTGTCCTGAGATAGGTAATTTTTTTTTCTTCTTTTTGTTTTGTTCTTCTTACAGTTAAAATCACCAGACACTTGCTTTTCCACCCTTTTCTACTGCCCTTATGATACATTTTGTTTATCACACCTCAGTTGCCCATCAGGAAAGTATATCAGGGATTTTTACCAGAAAATAAAGCCACTTCTGTAAGATAAATTTTTAATATTCAGAATAGTGTGACCACTTTCTTGACACAGATGTAGAAAAAGTTTTTAGCAGCTGTAAAGACTAAAGCAATCTCTAGGAAACCAATAACAGAGAAAATCTTATACCGGTGCCCTATGTTCCTCCCTTCTCCAGATTACACATTTACGTAGGAAGAAAAAGAGAGGAGAACGATGTTAGAACACATAAGTAATTCTAATATCACTGCCAGCCCAAGCCACAGGCTGTCACACTGACAATGATGCATTAGCAGCTTCACAGCAACTGCAGAAACAATCCTGAAGATGTAGAGCAACACACTCTGTAACACAAACATCCGTATTCTCTCTCTGTGTTTGCTGGGCAGTAACACAAGCAATTTATTTCCAATGTTTGGATTTGTGTATTTCAACAACTTGTGCAATACAAAGTCTTAGGGACAGAACAGTCCCTGTCCAGATAGAGCTTCCACTAAATGGCCGTGTTTCTACCTGTTAAATCAGGTCTGCTAAGGTATATCCAAGGTGTTAAAACCTGATATGCCCAAGTTATGCATTCAGATCTCTAGTTAAATTCCTTGTTAGGAACTGTCAGCCATCAAGAGCAAAGACAACCGCTGGATTCT